ATCGAGTTAGTGATGCCATCCAACCATCTCATCCTCTGTCACATCCAAGTTACCTCCATAAAATAAAAGCATAATGTGACTTCAGTATATCCCAAGCACACCAATCTGAGACTGATACTTCCTTTTGTTTAAGGAGGAAGGGTGTACACACTACACTTATCCATATTCTTTTATATTTGATAGACCCCTAAAGGATTTAATAACATTTGATATTGTCTTCCCTGATAGTTCAGTTGGTAAAGAATCCTCCTGCAATGCAGGAGACCCCAGTTTGATTCCGGGGTCGGGAAGATCTGCTGGAGAAGGGATAAGCTTCCCACTCCAGGATTCTTGGACTTCCCCGGTGGCTCAGCTGGTAAAGAATCGCCTGCAATGCGGGAGACCTGGGTTTGATCCCTGGGTTGGGAAAATCCCCTGGAGAAGGGAAAGGCTACCCACTCCAGTATTCTGGCCTGGAGAATTCCATGGACTGTTAGTCCATGGGGTTGCAAAGAGTCGGACATGACTGAGTGACTTAAAATTTTGGGGCTTCCCTTGTGGCTCAGCTGGTAAAGAATTCACCTGCAATGTGGGAGACCTGGGTTCGATCCCTGAGTTGGGAAGATCCCCTGGAGAAGGGAAAGGCTACTCACTCCAGTATTCTGGCCTGGAGAATTCCATGGACTAGTCCATGGGGTTGCAAAGAGTTGGACGCGACTGAGTGACTTTCAGTTTCACTTTCAGGTACCTTGGAGAGGGCTTCCCAGGTGGCGCTAGTGGTAAGAAGCTTATCTGCTAGTGCAGAAGATGTAAGAGATGCTGGTTCAATTCCTGGGTTGGGAAGATCCTCTGGAGGAGGAAATGGCAATCCACTCCAGTACTCTTGCCTGGAGAATTCCATGGACAGAGGAGCCTGGCAGGGTCCATAGGGTCCCATAGAGTCAGACACAACTGAAGTGACTTAGCATGCATGCACGTAGGTACCTTGAAGAGGTCAACTCTAGTGGTTTGAGGTGAACTTTCCATTAAGATTTTATCTATTTGGAAGAAGCTATTTTTCCAAGAATTGTTATTTTACATGGGGCTTCCCTCACAGCTCAGTTGGTAAAGAATCCACCTGCAATGCAGGAGACCCTGGTTCAATTCCTGGGTTGGGAAGATCTGCTGGAGAAAGGATAGGCTATCCACTCCCGTATTCTTGGGCTTCCCTTGTGACTCAACTGGTAAAGAATCTCCACCTACAATGTGGGAGACCTGAGTTCAGTCCCTGGATTGGGAAGATCTCCTGGAGAAGAGAAAGGCTACCCACTCCAGTATTCTGGCCTGGAGAATTCCATGGACTGTATAGTCCGTGGAATCACTAAGACTCAGACATGACTGAGTGACTTTCACTTCACAGAAAAGCTCTTCTTCCTCTTAAGTTTCTGCAAGTTGGCTTGTTCAAGGAAAGGCTATCCTGTATCTGGCTCTAAAATTGCATTACTGACCAGGATTAATCCTTTCTCACACACTTTTCCTGTGTTGTCTTACCATTTCAAATCCCAGCTTAGATGTCCTCGTTGTTATTGTTATCTTGTCATGCTATGTTACAAACATGTACTGACATAAATCCACTTGAGAATAAGGTCCATGTGTTACTCTTTTCTGTAACTGGTCTACTTACCATAAGGCCCTCAGCATATAGTAGGCAATTAATAAATGTTTGAATTGAGGTTGAAGCATAGGTGGGGGCTTGTAACAGGCTACTAAAATAGTTCAGCTCTTGGAGAAACTGTGTTCTTATCGCCATCATCTTTGAAAAACTGACCTTTCTTAGGAAAGTTTAGTATCCTTTCCCTACCTCAGTTTGTATTTGCGTTAGCAGCTGTGATCTGGAAAGTGGACATTGCAGACAGTCTGGATTGCCTCCCTAGAGAGCCCTCCCAGGTACTTCAGAGAGCAGAGTCGTGCCACATCCTGCTGCTGGGATACAGAAGCAGCAGCACGGGCGAGCAGGTGCTCTCAGCCCTTACCCTTGGCCTTGCTCAACTTCCTAGTTTGTTGAGGTGATGAGCTGACTTTGGAGAGAAGATTAATGGTCTTGGGGCAGCTCTTGAGGCTTACTCCTGTTAAACTACTTTCCTTCTTTAATTTCGTGTATAATTACAGTATCCTTGAAGTGATGGGGTGGAAATATTGGAATAAGGTTGCCATTAGTGACTGGGTTTCTCTAAGTTCTTGGTTTCTTCCATCCCTCATTTTTTTGTATTGTTTAAAATACATAACATGGATTCATGTTTATTGAAAACAGTGCAAAACATCTAGAGACCAAAATTAAAGTTCTCTGACAGTCCCTGAATGCATATATGTATTCATAGGTACACACAAATACAGCTTTTAAAAAAAAGAACATAAGGATTATACTCTTAGTATGGTATTCTGTGAATATGTCAGGTCATTAGGTAATGTGTTGTGTCAAGATGATAAGAGATCGTTTATAACCATGAATGATCTCTTGGTCATCCTTATCCTCATTTGATCAGTTGCTGTGACAATAGCTAATAACACTGCTCCTTTGTAAAATTGAATAGGACATGTATCGGGCATATATAGGTGCCTTATTTGTATTTTCTTGTCTTTTTAGCAAGATCAACCATGGTATTTTTAAAGATTATTTTATTTGTTTATATTTGACTCTGCTGGGTCTTTGTTGCTGTGCAGGCTTTTCTCAAGTTTCCGTGAGCAGGGGCTACTCTCTCTAAGTTGAGGTGCTCGGGCTTCTCATTACAGTGGCCTTCTCTTGTTAAGCACCACAGGCTCTAGGGCATATGGGCTCAGTAGTTGGAGCTTCCGTGCTCCAGAGCACAGGCTCAATAGTTGTGGCACACAGGCTTGGTTGCTCCACAGCATGTGGGATCTTCCTGGATCAGAGATTGACTCTATCTTCTGCATTGGCAGGCGGATTCTTCACCACTGAGCACCAAGGAAGCCAACTATTATACTTTTATAAGTGATTTAAGCATGTTGTTTCTAATACCTACAAACAATCCTGCATGATTTGTTATTGTTAATATCACATGTAGATGGGGAAACTGAGGCTTAAGGAAGTTTAACCTAATTTACTCAAAGTCATACAACTAAGAATTCCTGTTCAGAGAAATAGACTCAAGTCAATCTAGCTTTAAAAGCCATACCTAACTGCCCTGCTGAACTGCTTCTCTGGTGATGCATTTGGCCTACCTCAATTCCTTGGTGGCTCAGTGTTAAAAAATCTACCTGTCAGTGCAGGAGACGTGGGTTCGATTCCTGGGTTGGGAAGATCCCTGGAGAAGGAAATGGCAACCCGCTCCAGTATTCTTGCCTGGGAAATCCTATGGACAGAGTAGCCTGGTGGGTTGGAGTTCATGGGTTTGCAAAGAGTCAGACACGACTTAGCAACCAAACAACAACAAAGATCTTAGAACAGTTGTTTCTCAAACCATCTTCAGTGAAGGACTAGTGTTGTCATTTTCCCCAGTCTATATCTGATCAATATTTTTGTAAAATACAATATAAATAAGTTACTAGATAAAAAGGCACACAAAATACAAACCCAAATATATCCTTATGTTCGAAATTACTTGGTCAAATTGCTATAAACATTACTAAATTCTTGCTTTCAGTTTCTGTACTTCCTGACAGTCTGGTAAAATCACTGGACTACAGACACTCTGCAGGCACTGCCCTGGAGTCTTTTGAGTTGGATCATAGAAAGATTCATAAGGACCAACCTTTTTTTTTTTTTTTGTAAAAAAATTTTATTGTGAAAGACTCTAAATATACACAGAAGTAGAGAGGAGAGCATAAAGAATTTCATGTACTCATCACCCAGCTTCAGCAGTTATCAACTCACAGTCAGGCTTGTTTCCTCTTCTTTCACATCCTTTGCCCCTGCCAGGCTCTTGTTTTGACACAAATCCCAAATAGTATGTATCTCTAAAAGATAGGGACTCTTTAAAAACATAACTTCCATAATATCATCATATCCCCCCAAATTAACAGTAATTCCTTAATATTTTCAGATCTACTGTCAGTGTTCCGATTTCCCAAATTTTTTGTAAACATCTCTTTATGGTTGATTCTTTCAAATAATAATTAGCTTTTCCTTCATTCTGTTAATGCGATACATTACAGTTGTTGATTTTTGTATCTTGAACCACCCTTGTGTTTGTGGGATAGATCCCTGGAATTAGTCATGGTGTATAATCCTTTTAATATGCTGCTGAATTCATGTTGATAATATTTTACTAAGGATTTTTGCCTCTATATTCATAATATGTATTGGACTATAGTTTTCTTGTAGTGTTTTGTCTGGCTTTGGTATCGAGTCAGGTTTTCTGGGAAGTTTGAGAAGGGTTGGTGTCAATTCTGAAGAACTGGTTTTTAGATGGAGCTTCAGTGCTCACTTTCTATGTGTCCTTGACCAAGTTGGTTCACTTTTTTGTCTTTGTTCCTTTATCTGTGAAAGGATATCTGATTGAGTTAGCTGTTCTTTAATGCACTTCTGTCAGTTTATTGCCCTGAACCAGGGTCTAATTTTATAGAAAGATGTTTGCTTTCATCATAACAACTTGTTCAGTTTGAGAATGAATTTTGGGGATTCCCTGGCCGTCCAGTGGTTAGGACTCTGAGCTTTCTCTGCTGAGGGCCCAGGTTCAATCACTGATTGGGGAACTCAGATCCCATAAGCCACACAGTATGGCAGAGAAACCCCAAAACAGACAACAAAAAAGATGAATTTCTTCTTGAAATTAATAGAATCACAGACTTGAAAGTTGAAAGGGGCTCTAAGTTTATTTGATTTAGTCATTTGCCTTTGCAGAAGCAAGTTCTTATCTCTACACCATAGGTAAAATAGCTAAAGTCCATTGAGTTTAAGTGATTTTTGTCAAGGTATATAGCTAGCACTTAAGTCTGTTTGCCACAGAACCAGTAGTGCACATATGGTCTTTTATGAAATTAGCTTAAGTGGATAATGATCTTCTCTTTTGCCTTCCTTTTAGGTTCTTTGCCCTGACATCCCTTCGTCTTGTGTTTTTACTTGCATTCAGCTCAATGATCATTGTGTGTATAGATCAATGGAAGAACAAAATCTGGCCTGAAATAAAAGGTGAGTTTGGTAGGATTTAGAACATTCTGAACTGGAAATGGTCTGTCATTTTTACCTGTAGTTTTAGGAGTTTCTGGAGGAGTATGTGAAGCTGGGAATAGCTTTTGAAGTCTGAATTATTTGCTTTAGGAGACACTTGAAGGGCTAGCGCCCCACCCGCAGTTCCTTAGAGCTGAGTTCTGTCCTTCCCATTGTTCGTTGTAAAGCTCAGGAAATCTGTATTCACCACCTGAGATATCCTTTCCTCCATAATTGGCATGAGGAATAGTCCTCAAATTGTTAAATAATTTTCCTCATTGGATACTGCATCATTACCAAGGCAGTATCAATTTGCCTCTCAGGAATTTCTGACTAATAGGAGGTTAGGGGAGTAAGGAATAACAGTAGCTTTGGGATTTCAGAGCAAGGAGAGGAGTAAGAGTGGCATTACAGTTAGCAGAGGTGGGCAGTGGTAGGCTGGGCAGTTGGTTTGGGTGGAGACTGAGAGTGAGGAAAATTGATGTAGGTTGGACATGTTATTTTTGAAGTGCTGGCAGAATGTTCAAACCAGAGTGTACAGTTTTTAAATACATTCCCATCCTATTTTGCAGAGACTTCAAGGAATCATATAGTTCACCCACCTGTCCTATGGCTAGTGAATGTCAGAAGACTTTTCATCATTGATTGTAGTTACTGGGTCTCTTTTTAAAGAGAAGAGCAGATCTCCAGAGTTAAAGTAGTCATAGCATGCGCTGGCACGCACTGATGCATAAGAGCAGCCCAGACACACTTGGGGGGCGCGGTGAACTTTTTTGTGTGCACCCTGGCTCTCGGCTGTGGTAATTAGAAGGGGCCCTAATGCTCCACTTGAATTCCCACCCCATCCTACCAGAGAAATGAGCAGGCACTAGCTACCATTTCCTTGTCTGTAGCTCCCTAACTGGCAGTATAACATGGTATCTCCTTTTCATTGGCTATTACTGTTTTCCTTTTCCCCAAACCTATTAAAACTTGAGCTGTCAGACCAACAGCCTAACATTTTCATGTTTTGTTTTCCCTACCAACTAATGCTGGTGTTTGTTTTAATATTGTAGTGCCAAGACCCGACGCGTTAGACAATGAGAGGTATGGAATGCTAATTAAATCCCTTTTTGTTGCTCTGATTGATTCTCTTGTTGTAATATTCTGGTTACAGGTTGTTAACTCCATGTTCTGGATACAAATTAGAAGCTGAGAACCTAGTCTGTTGCAAATAATCATTTTAACAAATCCTAAAGTTTAGGCAGCAGTAGGTTGAGACGCTGAGTGTCCTGTGATACTTATAAGAGACATTTCTAAGAAAACAGCATTAGAGTGCTGACGTACCAAGGAATTATTCATATTCAGCCTGTGTAAAAACTTAGAGGCAACTTACCTCATTTGTCTCCGGGCTTTTATAAAAACGAGGTCATTTAGTGTTTCCTGTGACCTTCGGCCGTTTAAAGTTCCTGGTCAAAAAATACATTCGTTTCTAGCATCAGCAAGCCAAAGATTCCTCTTGTGGCTTACTGCTCCTGCTTTCATTTTTGAGTTCATTCATGTCATGTGTTGGATTGTCTTTGCTGGGTTTATTTTGGTTTTGCTTTGTTTGTTTTCTCTCTAAGGGGCACATCCATTGCCTCCACCCCACTCTCCGCAGTGCCGTCAGACTGTGCTGTGCCTTTTCTCCTGGATTGCAATCACAGTGGATTGCAACGGTCTGAGCACAGGAAAGCTGCTTTTAAGCACAAAGGGCCTAGGAGCTGGTGGCAGGTTTACACACGTGGATTGGGCTGCTGGCTCATAGGGTGGAGTTGTCAGAACAAGTTTGCTCTCCTAGTCTTTAAATTCAAGTTTCAACCTGGAGCGCCAAGAAGAAAGTCATGCTTCACCTCTAGAGCACCTCGGGCTAGCCACTCCCCCACCCCTATTTAAACCCGGAACCATCTGCTGCCTTCAAAGTGAGATGGGGGGTAGCCCTCAGCACCCTCCTTTCACAGCTCCCCCTTCTCTTTCCCATAGCTGGGGCTTTGTGCACCCTCGGTTGCTCAGCGTGCCCGAGCTCTGCCACCACGTAGCTGAAGTCTGGGTTAGTGGGACCATTTTCATAAGGAATCTTTTGCTTTTCAAAAAGCAAAACCCAGGCAAGGTAAGACTCTTCCCTTTTTCACTCTCATTTCTGGCTTCTCAGTTCAGTTCATGCTAAACTGAAATAGCCCTTTTACTACACATCCTCATTCAAGAAAGAAAAGACCATGGTGCTGGTAGAGACAAGGGAAGTCATAGGAAGGGGCTTCTGACCAGCCACTAGGACTAGGGCAAGAACTCGATGACTCCTTCAGGTGCTTGCCACTTAGAATAGGCTGTCTTCCTGCCCCAAGATGGGAAGGAAAGCTTGCTTGTGTGCATTCTGTGTCATATTAAACATGTGGTAGGTGGTTGAGGTTTTTATTTTACTTTGTCTTAAAAAAGCCCACCACCAGCACTTGTTTTCAGAGAGAATTTTTGGCTCAGTCCTATTCAAACCAATTTCCCAGCATGAAAGCTGCAGCCCTGTGGGGTTAGCCGTGTGAGAGGAGTTTGAATAGGAGTGGCCATGGTCCCTTTTCTCCCCAGCAGAATCACCATCGGATGCAGCAGTGGCTAGCTAGGTACATGTCATTCTGACATGTCCATGCTTTATACAGAGGTCATAAAAAATCATTTCAGTCACATCTCCATCTTACCTGCCTCCCATCCCCACCCCATCCCCTGCCATATAGCAGAAACTTAATATTGTTTCCTGACACCCCTAGTTCTGCTTGCTGAGCTGTGGGATACTGACCTTTTTGGCTGTCTTGGGCCGCTACATCCCTGGGCTCCTGCTCTCCTACTTAATTCGTAAGTATGGTATATACCTCCCCCACAAGCTTAACCTACTCATAGCTTTTCTAGCCATAGCTAACTTTGTCTGGAGAGAGGACTTTTATATTTTGGTTTTCCAGGAAATGACCTTTTTATATTTTCATGTCCTGTTTAGAGTCATGAAAATACCTTTCTTCTTACCTGTGTCAAGCTCCCCACATATAAAGTCCTTTTCTTACCAAGTTTTAGAAACTGACAAGGGTCCACAAGAAAGGACTGTCTGTTCCTATTTCAGGAGGGAATTTTTAGAGTCAGTGTATTGTGTAACAGTAGAACATAACTCTTAGGATTCTGTTCTAGGTTCTGTTTACCCTGTAGGTTACTAGGTTCTGTTTACCTGGAGCACTTCTCCCCCACCCCACCCCACCCCCGGAGCAGTTCTGTAAATTTAGTGACTTCATATTGGCATGAACTCTGTCTACTTGGGGCTCGAAGAACTGAGCAATGATGACCCTGGTGATTGTATAGCAGAACCTCGGATGATTTGTTGTATAGTTGCCGAGGCATTGTTACCATTTGGTCTTGTTTATGACTCAGTGACACCCATATGCAGGTGACAGCACTGGTTCTGCCCCTGATGTGTCAGCAGCACAGTCCACTGCACACAACCCTGTCAGGGCTACAGAGTCTCTGACCCCAAAAGTCTTCACCTCGTGAAGATGACCTGCAGAATTAAACAGGACCGTTCCACACTAAGTGCCACAGCCCTAAGGACACACGGCAGAGGGACAGTCAGGACTGCATGCGGCCCTTTGTCCATCTCACCACTCTTTCTCACTCCTCAGTTGTCACTGTCATGATGTGGCCCCTCGCTGTGTACCACCGACTGTGGGACCGAGTGTACGTATGGCTGAAGCCCGCGCTGCAGCGGCTAGACTTCAGTGTTCGTGGCTACATGATGTCCAGGCAGAGAGAGAGGCAATGTAAGTGTCCAGGGGAGCCTTCCGTCCATTTGCGCAGTTTGGGGAGGAGAAGAAGCCCATTGGTTTGGCATCGTAGGCCCTTGAACATGGAGAAATGGCATGTGGTTGGTGTGTAGGGGGGTGGTAGGTAGAAGTGATGATCTACTCTAGGGAAATCTCTGCAGGCTTACCAATTTTTCCCTTTGGAATTCTAGACACTCCTATTTTAAACAAATATGAGAAAAGTTCTTCCAAGTCATATAAAAGACAGTGAAGATATTCCCAGTGTTAGCTGCTTTTTATGAAGCCTGTCCCGTGTGCCCAAGCACTGAGCTGGCTGCTCTGCATACGTTGTCTGTACAACACCCTTAAGAAGAGGGTGGTATTTTCCTTTTCTGGTTGAAGCAACTGAAGCATATGGTTAGTAAATGGCAGAGTAGGTCTTTTAAACTCCTCAGCTGGGCCTCTGTTCACTCCTGAAAGCTGCCTTCCAAAAGTGATTGAAAACTTGCTTCAGAAGCCAGACATACTAGCCTGAGATCCTCCAACCCACAAACGACAGTCGAGCGAACTTTTCCCTCTCTTCTGTGATGTGGTCAGGTTGGGTCTTCATTAATCCCTGGCCTTCTAAGAGCCCTGCACATGGGTGCCAAGGCCCAGCTCCCCCTGACTCAGTCAGTTGAACTTCTCAAAAGCCTGATTCAGCCCAAGTGGGGTGTCTCCCTTTGCCTTCTCTGTGATAGTGTCCACTTTTCACACTGATATCTGATCTGTTCTTAGGTGATCTTGAGGCTTGTTGACAAGCCTGGTAGTTGATCTGACCTGAACAAAAAGGGTTTCTTTCCTGTGTTATCATGTTATCAGCTTACCTTGCCACTTAGGCTCTGCAGCTCCTTCTTCAGACATCCTTATGTAGGTTTAAGGGGTTCATTCTCTAGTATTCTGACTTGAATGCCTTTGAAATTCGAAGGGGGCGGGAGTTTGCCCTCAAGGGAAGGTGTTCACGGCTTCTGCTCTTCCCACACAGTGCGGCGCAGAGCTCTCCACCCAGAGCATGCTGTGGACAACCACAGTGACAGCGAGGAGGAGCTTGCTGCCTTCTGTCCTCAGGTATCTGGGGTGTGGGAGCTGCCTCACTGGCCAGTTTTTTTAGCTCTGTTTTTACCATCTGGTACTCCTGTTTAGACAGTAAACAGGTTTCCAGGCTCACTGTGGGCTCTCCAGGGACCCAGCTTTTTGCCTTTCTCCAAGGACTTCCCTGCCCCCAAGAGCAGTGAGGAGAGAAGCTAGTATTATATTGGGACTTTGTATGTAGACCTCAGTTTGAGTCTGGTGACCAGCACACCCTCTTCCATGTCTCCTTTTAACCCGTCATTAGGGCAGAACTTCTGCAACTGGCCTGATCACTCTTTAAACAGCACAGCTTGCCTTAGGTCAAGCAGTAACCTGTGCACATCCTCCCAGCCATCTGTGAAAAGTATTCTCTGGGTCAGTTATTTGCATCAGAGTCTTAAGTGGCTGGTTGACTGTCAACACTGCTTTCCTTCCTGGGCTCAAGATTGATGAAAAAGAGTGTCTTCCCTGGGGGAGCAGCCTGCAACAGGTCAGGATTCTGACTAAAGTCGCCATCCATGCCTGGTTACACTGTTAGCCTTAGGCCTTTGGGGCCAGCTCACTGGTGAAGCTGTAAGTGGCAAACTGCATCTGTTTCTGATGGTACCGTTTCTTCATGCTTGTTGGTCTTGTCCTTTCCTCAGCTGGATGATTCCACTGTTGCCAGGGAACTCGCCATCACAGACTCCGAGCACTCGGATGCTGAGGTCTCCTGTACAGACAACGGTACATTCAACCTTTCACGGGGCCAAACACCTCTAACAGAAGGCTCTGAAGGTGAGAGGAACCTTGGACCCGAGTTGATACTGGCTCCGACTGTTGCCGCTCAGCTTTGCAGGCAGCAGGGACACTACCCCTGCCTTTCTGTTTTCCGAGCTGTGGATTAGGTGGCGGAGCAGCTTTAGGGGCATGGCTCCAGCCAGATGGCACTGCTGCTGCCCTGGAAGTCCTCAGTCCATTAGTGGCCTCAGGATTGAAGCTCATGGGGGAGAAAGGGGAAGTTCTTTGCCCAGTAAAGGTAACAGAGTCTATAAGTGGAGGGGGAAGGCTGACCAGTGCCAGAAACCCAGGGTGGAAACATCTGGTTATTTGGGGCTGACGTGGTGGGGCTGGGAAACAGGAAGGCCATGCCACAGTTGCCATGTCTCAGACACTCCTCTGTTCTTGCAGACCTAGATGGTCACAGTGATCCAGAGGAATCCTTTGCCAGAGACCTTCCAGACTTCCCTTCCATTAACGTGGATCCTGCTGGCCTGGATGATGAGGACGATACCAGCATTGGGATGCCCAGCTTGATGTACCGGTCCCCACCAGGGGCCGAGGAGTCTCAGGACCCCCCTGCCAGCCGGGAAGAGGCCGCACTGCCGGAGCTTTTGCTTGGTGCCCTGCCTGCAGGATCCAACCTCACCAGCAACCTTGCTAGCCTGGTTTCGCAGGGCATGATCCAGCTGGCCCTGGCAGGGGCCTCCCAGCCAGGCCCGTCTGGCCCACCTCCCCGGAGAGCCGCCAGAGGTGTCCTCAGGGCACCCAGTTCAGACCTGGACACTGATGCTGAGGGGGATGACTTTGAACTTCTGGACCAGTCAGAGCTGAATCAGCTGGACCCTGCCAGTTCCAGGAGCCACTGAGGAGAGACTTCCTTTGGGGGGTCACTGTGGTTTAAGTTTTTTTTTCTCCCCATTCCACTTAAGGTGAAGGGGCAAGGGAAGAACCCAGGTCCCACCTTCTGAATTATATATGTATGCACAGTGGCCTGGTTGATGCTCAGAGGCCTACTGAGAGAGGATACTCACTCCCTTGCTATCAGCTGGATGCTGATATCTGAGCTCAAGTCACCGAAGTGAGAGTGTGCTCCCTTGAGGGACACTTCTCTCCATCAGGATGGTGGTACTTTCGGGGAACAAAGTAGTCAGGGGTATTGGTTCCCTTTTGAGGGGATGCTGCTGTGTGCTTCTAGGTCTGGATGCTCAGAGGCCCTCAGTGAACAGATCCCTTCCCTTCCTTCCCCTGTTTATCATCTCCCTAGAGCTCCAAGTCAGGCAGCTGGAAGAGGTTAACTGTCCTCTTTTGCTAAGCCATGGTTGATTTGCCTTTTTCTAAGCAAACTTGTCCTTTGGTTCTGCAGAGCAGGCCTGCTCCCCTTGCCTCAGCCCATCCTCATTTCTTGAGGCCTACCCCCTAGTGCTTCAGAATCTTGCTTGTGAAGTTTTAGAATGTGAACATGAGGTGTGGGTGGGCTTCTTCCACATTACTTTGGGCTGTGGGGTAGCGGGGTGGGAGGGTGAACGCCTCTGTAGCTCCCCGACTCACTCATTGTTTTGGAGCTGGTTATTTTTGGTGCTGCTAACCCCTGGCTCCATTTGCCCATCAGCCTGAGCAACGAGCAAAGCAATACCATACCATTCCATACCCATTTCCGTGTTCCCGTTCCTTCCCCTGCTCCTCCTCTGGAGAAGCAATAATCCCACACAGGCGATGTCAGAGTAGCACTTTACAGACGGCTCAGTGGCATTCATCCCAGGAGCCACCAGCTCTTCACCCCTGTTCAGCTCCTTTAATAATTTTGTTTTCAACTGCTTCCCAGTTTGGCAGGGCCTCTTTTAAGATGAGCCCAGTTAGCAAGAATTTGCCTGTAATCAGCAGAGACCCCTGTATGGGGTATCTATATGCTACTGCCCCTAGTAAAAATCATGTGAGACAAAAACAAAATGATCATTAGTTTTAAACCCATGCCTCCCCAATCGAGCTCAAGCTGAATTCTCCTAATCATCTTTCCCTCCACATAAATTAACCCTTTGCTGATCCTCAGGGACCACTCCCCCCAACACCCCGCACCTGGGTGATGGATGTTGGACAGAGCCCGTTTTCACGTGCTGCAGGTGGGAGTGCACTAATGTGTTTGCTTTTGGTTGACGGAGAAGGTAGAGGCCAAGGAGTGAAAATAGTCAACGGTGAGAGGAGAGAAGAGCTTGGTGTCTGATTCAGTCACTTCCCTTTGTGTGAAGTTTAGAGAACCAGCCTCTCCCCCACTTTTAGGGTTCTCAGACAGACTTTGGACACCTCTCTTCTCAGAGCCCAGATGTCTTACAGGTGAGCTCTGATGTGGAAGAAAACAGGAGGTGTGGGAAAGGAGTGGGATTTTGTGTGTTTGCATGAGTGTGTGTAGCTTCAAGCCTTGGGAGTTGGCAGGAGGGAGAAAAGGAAGGAGAGCAAAATCTTTGGAAGGTGTTTTTTGTACCTGCAGATCCTGCTCTGAATCTCCTTAGTCCTCCACTGTGAATCCGGATGGGGATGAGGGTGGGAGGGGTGCTGGGGAATAAATCTTGTATGAGAACAACCTTTAAGAGACTTAACGTTGAATGGTGTCTTAGCCTTGAAAGGTCTTGCTAATCTGATGTTATTAGAGGAGGTGACAGCCTCAAAGAAAGCCCAATGTGTGAGGGACCCACTTGACCATCCTTGGTTTTTTGTTTTGTGACGGCCAGAAAAATCACCATGATAGGAGGCTGCCCCCCATCTCCAGGAGAGCCCAGATAGGAGCATAACCGGCATTCCCGGCCGGCATCTAGCCTGCAGTTCCATCATTCTAATTCTTAATATTGTCCGCTCTACGTGTGAAGAGGAGTACAGGTTTCAAAGGCTAATGAGGTTTGAGGTAATAGAGGCTTTTAAAAGTAACACCATGCCCCACTGGATTGTTTGAGCTGCAGGAACAGCTGCTCTTTGGCCTTCAGCTGACCTCAGAAACTAGAAATAACTTATTTTAAGGCTTTGTCCCACTGGCCACTGTGGGCAGGAATGGAAAGCACCTGTCAGGTGTTGCCTTAAGATTGTCTCTGCCAAAAGGAAACTTATACAAGCTTTGTGGCTTACGATCAGCCCCCTCCCAACCATACCTTCAACCACAGCATGTGCTGAGCGCCCCCTGCGTGAGGAGCTGGGTAACGGGCAAACGCAGCGTTATTCCTTGCAGGGCGCCTACGCGTCGTTCTAAGTCTTCACAACCCCCACCCCCCGCAAGTACCTCTTGTTCCCGTTTTACAAAAGATAAAAACAGAAAGGCTTGGGCCGTGGGACGGGGACACGCCTTTGGGTAACTGACCCTGTGACCTTGAGCAAGTCACTTGCCCAGCGGGAGCTGATGCCGAGATTCCTTTCCATTCAAATATTAGCCCAGCTCAAGGTCACGAGTGCTCAGCAGCCGCTGGAACTGGGTCCCGAGACTACAAGGCGTGATTCCCTACAGCCCTGGTTCCGAGAGGAGGAAGGGAGAGGTTCGAAGCGTACACCCCACCTCTCCGGCAGAGAGCCTGGCCGCTGGGGCTGGAGCCCGGCTCCCTAGAGCGGGCCGAGCTGAACTACGGTGCCCGGGAAGGGCCGCTCCGCTCCGCTCCTCGCGAAAGCCGCCCCACTGCCAATCACACTTGAGGCCCGCCCTGCCCTTTGCCGGAAGGAGCCGTTACCCCGAGCAACTGCAACGTCCGGTTTTCGGAGTTTGGCGGCGGGAAAAGCCATGAGTAAAGGCCGGTCAGAAGCTGCCCCGGGAGGTAACACCCGTGGGCGCTGGGAGACCCGGAGGAGGGTGGATAGGGGCCGGTTGAAGGACCCCCTTCCTGCCTTGTCTCTCTCTGTAGCCTCCGGGATCCTGCTGAAGTACCTACAGGAGCAGAACCGGCCCTACAGTGCCCAGGACGTGTTCGGGAACCTGCAGCGGGAACATGGGCTGGGCAAGACGGTGAGAACCCTCTCTTGGAACTCTGGGACCTCCCCCGCGACCTCAGGGGTCCTGCACTCTCCAGGCCGCCATTTTAGCCCAGGGCTTCCTAAGGCTTGTTGGGCGCTTCCCCCCATCATTGGTGACATCCTTCCGGCTCCCAAAGTCCCTCTCCTGACTACTCCGCCCTCTCGCCTCTGTCAGGCGGTGGTGAAGGCGCTGGAGCAGCTGGCCCAACAAGGCAAAATCAAAGAGAAGATGTATGGCAAGCAGAAGATATACTTTGCGGATCAGGTGAGGAAAACAGATTAACACCTATATGAGAGCCCGGCATTAGGTCAGTCAGCCCCTAGTATGAACTCTGGGAGAATTGAAGCATCCGGTGAAATTCACCCGTCTTAGGCCATTTAAAGGGCCCCAGCCAACCTTTAGGACAAAGCGTGGACTCCTTTTGCTGTCATCCAAACTTCACTAGATTTCCAGACTTGAAATATGATCGATGACAAAAAATCCTGAATTGTTGCTATCGAGGTCCATTTATGCGTGGAAGTTCTTATTTCCAGTCATCTAGATGAGAACCAGTCTGCCCGGTTGTTTTCCTTCTCTTTGCAGCCCAGACCCCCTTTCAGGCGCATCAGAATCAGTATTGCCAAAGTAGAATGCTTCATCTCTCCCCTAAACCAACTCCTCCTGTGTTCTTACCCCTAAGGGAATCATTCTTCACCCAGGCCAGAGAGTAGGGAGTCATTCTTCACCCAGGCCAGAGAGTAGGGAGTCATTCTTTTTGGTTTTGGTTGGCCTCACCACACAGCTTGTGGGATCTTCGTTTCCCAACGAGGAATTGAACCCAGGTCCTCAGCTGTGAAAGCACTTGAGTCCTGACCACTGGACCGTCAGGGAGTTCCCTGGGAAATTCTTATTTTACACGCTTAGGCAGCCGTCAAGCCCAGGTGTTTCCCCTTTCTTGACTCCACCCTCTCCTCTCCAGCTGCCACTGCTGCTCTGGTTCAGGTGTTCCTTGTCTGTTGCAGGATCCTCCTGATTGCCTGGGCTCCTTACACATATCTTAAACATTGCAGCCAGAATAATCTATGTACATGCAACTCTAGTCATGCCACTTCCCTACCAAAAATTCCAGTGCTCCTTAGAACAGATAAAAGGTGCTCAGAGACTTGGCTCCAGCCTCTCCTGTCCTGGTTATTTTTCCATCCATCAGTGCTAGCCCATTTAGATGTACTTAACTCCGGTGGCCTTTGCTTGTTGTCCTTCCTCTGCCCTGGTTCTTGAGTCCCTTCTTCCTCTGCCCAGCTGTTACTCATCCGTTAGGCTTTCACTCAGGCATCACCTCTGGAAACGTTCCTGACTGCTCTGAACTAACTGCCTACCTCAGGCACTTACCTCTTTGAGGCATCCTCTAGTTTAATTGTCTTTCACTTGCCTCCATTACAAAACTGAAGTTCTTCTAAAGCAGACCCCATTTCTCATCCATCTTCCTTTATTCAGTACCCCTACAAGATTTTAACATCCACTGTCAAGGCTAATTTTCCTAAAGTAGGTTTCATTATATTACTGCTGTACTGAAGATTCCATAAAGAAGTTGGGAGATTTTTTTCCTGTAAAAGGCCAGTTAATATTTTTATGCTTTGCAGACCTGGTGGTCTTTTGTTGCAGCTATACAGCTGTCAGTGGCATTCAAGTCTGCCATTGTGGGGCAAAACCAGCCATAGACAGTATGTAGATAAATGGGTATGACTGTTTCCATACATTGTTTTTTTGTTTTTGTTTTTTCCCAAAAACATGCATCTGGCAGGATTTGGCCGGCAGGTTGTAGTACTGCCTTCTGCCTTAATGGTTTACTACACTTGATTGTAGAGTGCAAACTGCTCAGGGTGGCATTCCAGTCCTTTCTATTCTGCTTCCCATCACTAGTTGACAGTAGGCCACTGAGCCCCAGCAAGGGCCTTTTCTAGCAGCTGCTCACATGGAAGGGTCCTCAGACCCACTGATGTCCTTATGTGACTACCTCCCACCATGCCTTTTCACCTGTCTTGATTCTTACCACCTGGAAACCTGTAATTAGGTATCAGCCCCTTTAGAAGAATGTTTCTTTACTCCTTCTGCCCAGTGAGTAGTTTTGCTAGTAAACTGCAAGATTATTTCTGTTCTATTAGTCAGTATCCCACACCTCAAAGCCCCTGAGGACAAATAACAGGTTTGAACTTGTTCTTTCTTGTAGCTTTTTGAGGAAACAGGTACTAGACTGAACACTGCTCAGAAGTACCCTCCCACTGTCTTCCTGGACCCTGTGGAGGGTTGGGGAGCCCCAAATTTTCAAGTGTGTATGGATGTTGCCTTCCCAGATGTGGGTTCCCCTCTTGTGCCTCCCATCAGCCTGCTTCTGTATTTCCTTTTGTCTCTGGCAGGACCAGTTTGATGTGGTCAGTGATGCTGACCTCCAAGGCCTGGATGCCAGAATCTTGGCTCTCACTGCTAAGGTGCAGAGCTTGCAGCAGAGCTGCCGCCACATGGAGGCTGGTAGGACCGGCGGCCCCTGGAAGGTGCCCCTACTGTCAGGGTTGGTCCCAAGGCCGGGAATTACTAAGTGCAGGATTTGTTGAGTGCAGTGACGTCTCACAGCAGAGATCCCTTTGGTAGGCTGCCACAGGCATTATGGGCTTCCCTGGTGGCTCAGTGGTAAAAGAATCCACCTTTCAATGCAGGAAACACGGGTTTGATCCCTGGCTCAGAAAGATCCCCTGGAGAAGGAAATGGCAACCCACTCCAGTATTCTTGCCTGGAGAATCCCATGGACAGGAGCTTGGCAGGCTGCAGTCCACGGGGTCACAAGAGTTGGACACGACTTAGCCAATAAATAACAACAACATAGGCGTCACATTCAACTTAATGTCTAACAACTAATGGCTTTTGAAGACAAATGGGCAAAACAGACATTTATGTTTCCTACTGTGATATCAATACACAGTTCCCACACTCCCCTTTACTCTGCCTATTTAACTGGCCACAGCTAATAGTCTACTCAAACTTATACTCCCCAACTGTTTGTAGATTTAGGAGGAAAGGAAACTGGAATAAACTGATAATTCTGTAAGCATTAGTCTTTCTTGAGGCTTTCCAGAATATAAGACCCATTCTGAACCCTGTGTGGAAAGAGCCCAGAGCAAGGGGGAGGCCTGGTCTCCTCCCTCAGAGTAGCCACTGACTTCAGGGAGATGTGGTTTTAGAGCTGAAGGAGTTAACTAGTGCCCTGACCACACCGGAGATGCAGAAAGAGATCCAGGAGCTAAAGAAGGAATGCGCTGGCTACAGAGAAAGACTGAAGAACATCAAAGAGGCCACCAACCATGTGACTCCAGAAGAGAAAGAGCAGGTGGGCTGGGAGGGAGGCGGAGCAGGGAGGGCTGCCTCTGCAGGTTCGAAGTGAGGAGGAGGGTTGACCCCAGCAGCTGCTGTGGGCTCAGAGGAACCTGTCTCCCTGTCTAGGTGTACAAGGAGAGGCAGAGGTACCACAAGGAGTGGAGGAAGCGCAAGAGGATGGTAAGTGTATGGGAGCTCTAGGAAGGCCCTGGACGATAGCAGCCCTCAGAGACACAGCTGCCTCATTTC